ATTACCATAATGCCAGCGAATTATGCAATGCTTTTTTCCGACTCTTCGAGTCTCCACCGCCGTGTCGTGCCCCGCCCTGAAAGCCTGCCTAAGTGCACTTTCCAACCGAAAAACAAACCGAGAAACAAACAAACACCCAACGAGTGCTGCTGCAACAGCAGGAGGGTGCCGTGGGAGGGCCCTTGGCCAGGTCAAGTAAATCAACGCATTACACTTTGTAATGTGACTGAAAAAGCACTGGGAATACGACGGGGGGCGGGGGTGGACAGAGGGGGGGACAGAAGGGCCACTCTGCCCAGAGTGTAAGTGCAAATGCACTGATAATGCCAATAATTCAATTATCCTGCTGCGTTTGCCACTGCCATCTGCCACCAAGCCACCCCGCCACCCTGCCACCCCGCCACCCTGCTCTGGCCAGCTTGTCTTGGCTTATTGTTATTGCCAAACCGAGTGACTAGTTGATGTTGCTGTTGCTGTTCGTGTTCGTGTGGCTGTGGCTGTGGCTGCACAGAGATTGCAGGCACTTTCGTTGGTTGCACGTCTCCGGCTGCGTCTCCGGCTGCTCGCAGCTTGCCTCGTATTAAGAAGTCACTTAGTTGACAGCCAGATAACAAGGAGCAGAGGCAGCATTAGGTGCAGGAGCAGCAGGAGCAGGAGAGGGGAGGAGGGGCAGCCCAGCAGGACGTAAACTGGAAACAATAGTTGCAATCCAAACGACACACGAAATGAATCAATCTGAGTGCGAGTGTGCGAGTGTGTGTGTTAGTCCTGTGTCCTGTATCCTGCGTCTGGCTATAAACATAAATAGGAAATGAGTGGACGGATGGACGGATTGCATGTGTGTATCGTGGCACGGTTCATCACTTGAGAGTGGGTCAAGATGTGGCCAGTACTCGTGTGAGAGTGCTCATTAGGGGCTACCAGAGCACCTCTCAGCTCTCCTCTGGCATTCGCCGGAGGCCCCAAAGGCCAGCAATTTGGGCAGGCAGCAGGCGACCTGCCTCCGAAATCGATTTCTCACAGGCTCATCTGGTGGGCGGGGACCAATGCTTAAAGTGGGAGTGCTTAAAGTGCTTTCTGGGGGCTCTCCTCCGCGACGGGCCACATTAATTGTCGGCATAATTTCATTACGTTTCGTTCATTAAAACTTTCGAAAATGAAAGTCGGCGGCGTCCCAAATGGAAAGCGCCAAAAATTGTTCGGAGCAGAATTTCCCCCGGGGGCTAGGGCTTAAGGCGGCGGCTGTGGCTGCTGATGCCTCCTTCTCTCCGTGGAATTATGGCTCATTAAATGACATAATGCAGACACAGTGGAGAAACCGAAATTGTATTTGTATACTTGCGAGTTCCTTCGACAGCGACAGTCCCGAGTCCCTGCTCCTCGATGCCGTGGCCGCAGGGCGCTGGCATCCTGGCCGCCTGGCCGCCCGCTGGCGTCTGCTAATGTCTTTCAAATACACAGACACGCACCGAGGACACACGGAGACACTCGCACATGTGTGGAGCCTGGCCGGGACACTTCACAGACATGTGCCGCATGATGGTCCTGGCTTGATTTTTCTCTCATCTTCAACGTCTTCTTCGGCTCCTTGAGGCATGCCCCATGTGTGCCTGTGTGTGTGTGTGTCTTAACTGCCGTTGCGTCTTTTTCAATTACACACATAATTAAATATGTTGCACGCCCCAACCAATGCCGGGGCGTGGTATCCCGCGGGGACACAGCCCATTGCTGTGCCTCTCTGTGTGTGTGTGCCTGTGTATGTGTGTGTGTGCTCCAGACAAATACTCCCAAATCTCTCCCAATTGTGCGATATTCCCCCGCAGCAGCAGCCCCGTGCCCCGTGCCCCGCCTCCCCGCCTCCCCTGTCGGATAGCATTTTGTAGATTTTAATAAACACGCAAGATAATTAAATTTAATCGCAGGCTTTTATTCTACATTAGCATGTGTGCTCCCCCCCCTCTGCCCCCCCTGCCCCTCCCCCTCCGCCCTGGCAAACGACAAACTCTATTTGCTGTGGCCAAATTCAATTTGCCACCAAAGTCCTGCCTGGGTCCTTGGGCAAACATTTCATTTCCATCTAGAAATGCTCAAAAATCCACTCCCCCTCTCCCTCCCCCCCGCCTTGTGCCGCCCTCTTGACAACTCAAATGCTCTCCAGTTGGCAAACAATTTGCGGCCAGATAATTGCAAAAATTTCAGGATTCTCTGTATTCTTTTTCCTGCCTAAAAGTGTACCTCGACTCATGTGAGTGTCCCCGTATCTGCATGCCCCAGGATCTGTGGCTGTGGCTGTATCTTTATCTGTGTCTCTTTTTCCGGTCTGGCTAATCCTTGAGCCAATAAATTTATGCGGAAATATGTGCTTTCCGGCGGCTCTGTCTGTGGCTCTGGCGCTGGCCCTGGCTCTGGCTCTGTCAAATTCCTCTTTGCAGTTGCCACTCTGCCGGGGGATATAAACACAATTTGCAGGTTTTAATAACCGCAGCTGTCGCCACATCACATCGCCTAAGTGCAGGGCATAAACCAGGCTCAGACGCGGCGAGCAGACGAAAAAAAAAGCGCCATGGAGAAAGTTGAACCACAATTTAAGATCAGAAACAGAACAGAAATGGGAATGGGAATGGGAAAGAGGAAGAGGAACAGCAAAACAAGGAAACAGAAAACAGAAAACAAAAGGCAGACACAACGGAAATGAAGATTTTTATGTGGCCCAAAGTGGGGCAGGACATCCACCCACCCGTACTTGCCCCATAAATTGCTGGCAAAAAGTGTTTTGTTGTCACTCGCCAGAACCACCCCCTCCCCCACCCCCACCCCCAAAGGGAGCACCACACAGCCAAATAAATTTCTATTAAACACAAATGAGCAACAAAAAAGTTTCTAAGAAAAGTTTTATCCCCACACACACACACACACACGCACACTTCGAGGACAACTTTGGGGGCAACAATAATTATGTTGATTACAACAAAGAGGCAACTTTTGGCCTCTTCAATCTGCCGCTAAGTGTTGTGCCTCCGCCGTGCTGCGCCGAATGATACTCAATGATGCTCTTGAGCTGAGCCGTCAATATCCATTATCCAGCCACCAGCAATGCCTGTAGTTCTAATGTAAGCCATAATTCGGGGGCCTTCCCCATCAACAGGGAATTTGCATTCGCAACAAACCGATTTCCTGTGTGCCACTCCGCTGTGGAGTTACTTTTTGTTTTGAAATCTAATTAAAATCATGTTTGTTGGCTCTTCCTGGCCAGCAATTACTAGCCACTACTAGCCCACTGGCCCTGGCAGCCGCAATTATAATTAAACTAATTACTAAACACGAGATAACAAAATATAATGAGCTCGATAATGAGCGGAGGCTGCAGACGGCGCTCGGGAGGAGTCCCATGCAGGTGACTGCCGCCTCGCTTTGGTGTCTATAAATTGGCCAGGCCTTGAACTGCCAACCCGCCGGCCATCAATCAGGGGGGCCACCTATCCCGGGCCTGGCCGTGAGCAATTCGAAAGTCGCGTCTAATCTTTGGCCTGTTGGCTCACGTGATTTGTTTGCAGCATCGCCGGGAGCGGGGCGGCAGCAGCAGCAGCAGCAGCCGCAGCAGTGGAGCGCATAAATCAAAATGCCATTTTTGATAGCAGTTCCCTTGGCCACCTGCCTGCCACTGCCACTGCCACTGCCCCACTCCGATCTGCCACCCGTTGGACAATATATCAAATTGCTTTTGCATTGCGCGCATGCTACATTTTATTTAGATTCTGGCTTAAAGATTGTCCTGGCTGGCTGCTGGCTGCTGGCTGCCGGCTGCTGCTTGCATTGTCTGTTGCCTGCTGTCTGAGTGAGTGGCCCGGAAGTGGGAGGTAAGTGCAGCACCAGCACCAGCACCAGCAGCAGCCGCCCATTAATCATGGCCAAGGGTAACGTGTTGAGGCCCCACACCCCACACCCCACATGCGAGGAGTCTAAGCCAGATTCCCCATTCGCCAGTCGCCATTCGCCATTCGCCATTATCCTTCCTCCCGATTCATAAACCATTATAGTTTTCTCTCTTGTGTTGTTTTCGGCAAAGGGTTGCGAAATTTATGTGTTGCAATTATTTTCTTGGAACAACACTTAAAGTGATTTACGGGGGGGAGGGGGAGGGCGAAGGGGCCCCGACTGTCCGCTCTCGAAGGGAAACTAAGGAAAATCCCAGCCAAATGGTGGCTTCCCCTGCGGAAAGGACTCCTCCGATGGTCCGATGTCTGCTGATGCTGCTGCTTATTCCGCCCCATTGGGTTTTGTGCTTTGCATTGCACTTAATAAGATTTGTTAGGCCCTCAATGAGCCTCAATGGGACCCCCCCCCCCTCTCCCCCCGGAAGCAGGAGAGCGGAATCCTGGCTTTAACAAATCACCGGCCGAATGGCTCGTCATGTGTTCAATTTGTGGTCGACTTTAAGGGCCCCCAGAAGCCAGACGGACAAACAGGTGGCGGTGGTGCGGGTGGTGCGGGTGCGGGTGCGGGGGGGACCTTTGAGCTCGTACTATATTGAAATCGTAGCAACGAAGAGGCGTGGCAAGTGGCAAGTGGCTCGGCCACTCGCTTGTTTGCACTTGCAGCAACATGCTGCATGTTTGCGCACCCAGGTTGTTGCAGCATCAAAGGGATGTTGACGCTCGCCCCCTGCCACGCGCCCACTCGCTGCGGCCTTTGCGTGCCCCTAAGTGTCGCCCCTCCATTAAGCGAGAAGAGCGACGCCTAAAAGTATGCAAGCGGCCATAAATTCAATGGTCAGAATTATTACCTGTAATTACAGGCAGAGGCAGGGGCAGAGGCAGGGGCATAAAACATAATTTGAGACTCCCGCCACTAAATTATAGGCCTAATGGGCCCCGAAATTCCTCCGCTGGCAAATTGAATTGCGGGAGCGCAGCCACTGCCACTGTACGGCAGCATCCATTACCCTCTAATGGAGCAACTTTTCTCATGCACTCCCTTCCCTGTTTTCGATTCATTCGCAGACCTGCTACGAGCTGGAGCGCTATCTGCGGGACGAGCCGAAGTTCGTGAAGAAGAAGCTCCACAGCGATCTGGACACCTCGGCCTGGGACATCTTCTCGACGCCCGCCCGCCTGCTCGAGGAGCTGAAGATCAAGGAGCAGAACCTGGACGCCATCTCCACGACGTCGTCGGTCTCCTCGAACTGCTCGGGCATCTCCTGGGACAGCAATGGCTCGCAGGCGCTCAGCTGCGCCGTCCTGGTCAAGCAGGAGCGCATCGACGAGGAGGACGAGGAGGGGGGCTGCGACGACAAGCTGGGCGGGCTCTTTGCGGCGCCCCCCTCGGCCATCTCGCCCAATCCCAGTATCAGCAGTGCCAACGGCAACATGACACCCACCAGCAGCAGCAGCAGCAGCAACAGTCACATCAGCAGCAGCCCCATCATCCGCAGCAGCAGCTCCAGCAGCAGCAGCAGCAGCAGCAGCAGTGGCATGAGTCAAGTGAGCAGCGGCCTGACTGGGGCCAGCACCATCACAGTGAGCTCGCCGAGCAGCTCGGCGCCCGGCTTCAAGGTGCGCGTGGTGCAGGCCAAGAGCCAGGTGGGCAACGGGGCGCGGCTGCACCTCGGACACGTGCAGGACTTTGTCCTGCCGACGCTGACGCCGCCCTCCTCGCCAGAGTCCAGCCTGCGGAGCCACAGCAACTACGCGCAACAGATCGAGGCCAACGATCTGGCGGTCCTGATCCAACAGCAGCAGCAGCAGCAACAGAGGCAGCAGCAGCAGCAGCAACAGCAGCAGCAACAACAGCAGCAGCAGCAAGGCAACTCCACACCCGCCACAGCGATCCTGCGCTTCACCAGCAGCAATCACCAAAACAATCCCACATTGACGCAACTGCAGCAGCAGCAGCAACAGTTGGCCGTCCAGCATCTGAGCATATCGCCGCAGGCCCTCGGCCAGAGCGGCAATACAGGCGGCGGCAGCAGCAGCAGCAGCAGCAGCAGCCATTCTCCCCACAGCCAGCCGGGCCAGACGGGCAGCAGCAACAGCAGCTCCAGCAGCAGCTGCCACAAGGACCAGTCCACCCACAGCAACATTCCGCGCAGCACCATCGTACGGCTGACCACGGCAAACGGCAAGCCGGGAGCGGCTGGCATCAGCCTGGCCCGCGTCATCCAGATGCAGAACAACGGCAACTCCAACGTGGCAGCCGTGCTCAGTGCAGCCGCCAGCAGCAGCAGCAGCAGCTCGCATGGATCCAGCGCGTCGACGGCACAGCAACAAGTGGTGGCGCCACGAGCCGACAAGGCCTCAAACGGTGCGTATGACAGCCCAGCACTTGCCCCAAATTCAGCCTCACCCTTGACCCTTCTCCCGCTTCAGGTTCTGCCAAAAATCATCACCCGCGGCAACATCACGGCGATCACAGCCCGGACGCCAAGCGGCGGATACACAAGTGCCAATTCCTGGGCTGCAAAAAAGTCTACACGAAGAGCTCGCATCTGAAGGCCCACCAAAGAACGCACACAGGTGAGTGCCTGCCACGCAGGGGGCAGGAGAGAGCAGGGGGGTGCATGTGTTGCTGCCCCTGACAGCTTCGAGTACTGCCTGCTGGCTGCTGAAATGTGAGGAGGCATTCGCCCTGAATGCCTAGGCACCAAAATCTAGCCCAGACCCGACCCCCTGATACCCTGCCCGAAGAGCGGGCCCCCGTCGGTGGCTACCAATTAAAAGCCGGCACACACCTTGCGGCAAGGACACCACCCTGGCCGTCGCTCTTGCGCTGCCTTAATAAATCAGAGACCTGCGACAACAATGTCCCGGACAGAGACCCCTGGGACACACGAGTGACATGTTGCATTGTTTGCCCCGACACTGGCCGCCGTCCATTGTCCACTGAAAAAACATGCAGCAGGAGTGCAGAATGCGGGGGCAGGCAGTCATCCTTCTGGGATGGGGCACTGGCAATTGAGGCCCCCACCCCCCCCCCCCCCCGAAAACAACCTCGTGGCCTGACAGCAGACGATGCTTGAAATTTCAATAAAAATCGCATAATTCAAACATGAAATATTGGTGGCAGAGAGAGGGAGGGAGCCAGAGAGAGGGAGGGAGCCCTCTCCCAGCGATGAAATGTAATTTTATTACAAACCACACACTCGAGCGCCAGAGAGCAAATCTATTGATTTGTGCCCCACGTAGAGGCGGCTCCTCTCTGCCGGCAAACACTTAACCCATAAAATAGAAGTCGAAATCCATTTCAACTTCTGCCAAAAAATGGGCGAAAAAAACCCACGGTATTTGCAGTTGTTGGAAAACAGTTTTGTGCGCATTCAGTTAAAATTCGCTGAGCTGCCACCCAACCCCCCTCCAGGACGAGTTTTGTTCCCGCCTGTCAGTTTTATTTGGAGAGGCAGGGGCGGAGGCAGTGGCAGTGGCAGAGGCAGGGGCAGGGGCGGAGGCAGCGGGGTGTGTGCGTGGCACAGCCCACAAATCACTTGGCACACACTCAAAAACAGAATTTCCATCGTTGACCTTCTTCCGAGACATCGGAAACAGACAAATACTTCCGCTGGATCGAACCGAAATTTGCAAGAAGAATATTTCCTCCTTTTTCTAACTTGAAGCCTCGAAAGTGTTCGGAACACCTGTTCAGCCAATCCTCAAGAATCTGGACAACAATTCAGAATTCAGAGCCATACGTTCCGGCATTGTTTGATGCAAATGCCGGGCCCTTGCCCAACAATCCAGAGAGAATGGGGAATGCCTGGGGGGGGAGAATGCCCTACAGCAGAAGTAGGCTTCCTCGAAAGGATGGTCTTTCTGTGGACATCCTGCTGGGTGTTCACTTGTGCATCCAAGTGTTGGCAACGCATCGCATCTGTCAGATGCCCAGCAGATGAAGTTTGGGGCCACAGATATTTCTCACTCAAAAACGAATGCGACTCTCCGGGGCTTGTGTTTGTTTAGTGCCCAAATGTTGAGTGACCCTTTCGGGGCATACCCAATCATCAGCGGGGGACCGGGGGACCGAGGGGGGGACTCATGCATATGCGACAGGAGGTACCAGTCTGTCACTTGCCACTTGCCACTTGCCACACCCTCAACCACTGACAGACGTACAGAGAGACAGACACAAAGTCAACAACTTTCTCTGTCAGCCGCAGGATATTGCTCAATTTATAAATGGCATGGCTGCTGTGGCCCCAGGATGTGGGGCTTAACATTTTAATTAACATTCAATTTCTGCGCCTCCTCGAAACTGTTTGTTCTGCTGCTGCCTCTGCCTCTGTTGCTTCTGCTGCTGTTTGCTCTTGCCGCAAGAAAGCCAAAAACTTCTGGCTCAATAAAAATCCATAACAGTCGAAAGTTTTTGCTCATAATTTTCAGTTTATCTTTGGCCACAAAAACAACAGCAACAACAACAGAAGAGAAGCTCATCAAGGGGCGGTTCGAAGGCGGCGTGACTGCTTGATTGGCACCTCGTTCCGGTGCCCCCAGTGGCCCCCAATGGCCCCCAATGCGAAAGTGTTAATTTGCTCGGCAGAAAGTTTCCCCAGTGCCGACATCCGTTTTGGGCCCGATAAAAAATGAAAGCGGGGGAATTCTATAATTAATTACACATGTTCTAGGGAAGGAGGGGAGGAGGGGCAGCAGGGCCAGCAGAAGTCAGAGGAGTCCAATATATCAAAAGCCAAGGTGTTGGCCCTGCGATAAGATTGAAACCTCTGATTTCGGACGCCCCCCTCCCAAAAAAAAAAAGCAAAAGCCGAGAGGGATTCTTTTCTGGGGCGGGGGGCTGTGGAGGGGGAAAACGTAATTATTTTAATGACACCAGGGACACCATGGAGACCGGGGCGCAGGTCCCTTTTTCCGTTTTTGGCTTAAATTAAAGAAAATCTAATGAATTACGTTTTTTGCATCTGAAATTAAGCGCGGGGGCTCGTATTGGGGGCATTCTTAAAATGCTGTCGCATTAGAAAGGCGGACACATGCAAATAATTGATGATCAGCCATTATTTAGTGGCCAAACGGGGCGTCCTTGAGCGGGTAGGAGGGGCTGGTGCTCGGTGGGTGAGAGAGCAAAGAGCAGCACGATGGCCTGCTGCAATGGCAGACAGAGAAATTAATTTGATTTGGGCTCTCGAGCGCGCTTCCTGCGTTTCCTCCTGTGGCTTGTCGGGCATTTCAATTTGCATGTCCCGGACCATTTAATTAGGAATCCATTCAAGCATTTCCCCCCCACCCCACCCCACCCCACCCCAGATGCAGATACAATGGTATAGATGGATGGATGGATGGATGGATGGGTGGGTGGATGGAGCACAATTGAATATCAATTAAAGCGCCATTCACTGCAATAAATTCCTCACAAAGTTTTGCCACAAAAGATTTCAATTAGTTAAACGCAGAGGCGGCTATAAGCATTCCAGAGTTGCATGCAACCACAGGCACCAGTGGAGTGGGGGGGACGGGGGGGGCACTGAGACCGTTAAGAAAAGATTACAAGTGCAATCAAGTGAGAAGACGCAAACAGACCATAAAAACTGTGCTGAGTGCAAAAGCCGAGAAGGCATCGACGAGGGCTCCTTCCTTGAGCTCTCCGCCCCTCCGCCCGCATCGCATGTCCCGCCGGGGCATTCCTTTCTATGGCCAACGACTGAAATTAAAACCCAGCGCCAAGTGAAATTTATAAAATATTAACTGGCTCCATACGCTGCCACGGCAGGTCCTTCGTCTCCTGCTAAGCGGCTGCTGTCGACTCCAAGCCCAGTTCGTGCTCCTCCTGTACGTGGCTTTTGTGGCCGACTCCTTATTGCCTTTAAACAATTTACAAGTGCAAGCTTTATGGCCTGCCACAGCCACGGCGGCAGCACAACCCCCCCACCCCTCCCCCTCCACCAGTCGTAGTTGCAACTGCAACTGAAACTATCAATATACTCGGGCTCGTGGAGCCAGACAAACGGCTGAGGTTAAGTTTTAACTGCGTTCGGCTCAATAAATTAACATGGCGACGTCTCGGCGTCGCGATTGGAGGATCGGAGGCAGCCGCGAAAAAAGAGGAGACAAAGGCGGGTGGGGGGTGGGGGGGCGCTTAACCCAGTTGCCGATTGGGATTGGGTGGCTTTTTGGCCAGGTCGCGGGCCCCGATGGCAGCCATGAAAACTAATTAAAAGACATTGGCCGCTGGCAGGGAGATACTAGCGCCTCGTACATCTTGGCCCATATGAGCGAAAGGACAGCCAATGGGTAGTACGTGCGGCGAGGGTATATCCTTCCGTGTGATCCGTGTGTATTCCGAACTCCTTGACCCTTTACAGGGTATCAAAGCGGTCCGAAGCTCCTTGACCAGCCCCGAATGGCGCTTTTTAGTTTGTTGTTGGATTTGCTGGGAGGCCAGACCACTCTTCAATGGCCAGATAACAGGGCCATTTTGGTTGCTTTATCGCTGCTGCTGCTCCACCACTCCACTCCACTCCACTCCCCCCTTTCCCCTGGCCATTCGCCGTTTAAATGCACTTCAATACGAGACTCTTGGGGGTCGCATCCTAGATCTCTGTGCGAGCTTGCCCTTTGTGCATTTGACGCTGATTTACACAGCGCCAGAAAGAGCTGCAAGAGGCGTTTAGAAAGAGATAGCCGGCAGAAAAAGAGCGTCAGAGATGGAGCGGAAAAAAGATGGCCAAGCCAGTACATATGTATGTGTCCCTGTGTGTGTCCCTGTGTGTGTCCCTGTGTGTGTCCCTGTGTGTGTCCCTGTGTGTATGTGGGTGGGGGAGTGTGACTGTGTTTGTGCAGCCGCTTATTTATTGGCAATGCTTCGATTCCCAAACATTTCTGACAACATGCCAAAGTGCAAGTGGCAGACACCCACACACCCACACACACCCACACACACATGGATACACACACTCTTTTGCAGCTGCAGATAGCACACGAATGGAGGACTCAGGCAGTGGCCAAGTGTAAACAAATGGAAATTAAGACATGGTCGAATCCCTGCAAGCGGAAGGCCCACCAGCCACAGAAGAAAGAGCGAGAAGAGTGCAGAGAGAGAGAGAGACAAAGAGAGGGGGGAGAGCGATGGAGAGCGAGGGAGAGCCGCAAGTGCATAATGTGAAATTGAGCACGGAAATATCACACATTTCCGCATGCATTAAGTTTTAAGCCAAGTGTAAGCGTGTCCGTGTGTGTGTGTGTTGCGCGTGTGTGTGTGCGTGTGTGTGTGCGTGTGTGTGGCTGGCTGGCTGGTGTGCGTTACAAAGTTTTCCACTCAGCTTTATGCATTTTTCTTGGCTGTCGTCGTCTACTTGCCGGTTATCTCGCTCCATTTTTTCCTCTCTGCCCCTCTCTTTCTCTCTCACTCTCTTTCTCCCTCTCTCTGTGGGAAAAAGAGCCAGAGCCAGCAACGGCGGCAATTTCCTGCCTCGGCTCTGCTGTTTGTCTTTTAAACTGAAATAATTTTGCCATTTTTTTCGGTTTGTTCTGCTTTTCCCTCCTTTTGTCTGTGTGTGTGTGTGTGTGTGTCCTTCTCTGGCTCTAGTCATGGCTCTCTCTCTCTGTTTCAGTGTTCCTGGTGCGCATTTTTAGGTTCTTCATTTTTTTGGATATTTTTTTTGCTTTTGTGTGAAATTACAACTTCTGCATTTCCTTTTCCTTTCGCCTGGCTGATTCTGTGGCTCTGACTGTGGCAATGGTTCTGGTTCTGGCTCTGGCTCTGGCTCTGTTTCAGGACCTGTTTCAGGACCTGTTTCAGGGTCTGGCTCCTGCTCTGGTTGGCTTTTGGCGCTTTGGCTGCTGCTTGTATCCTTTGAGGCTTTTGGCACGCATGAAAAATGTTGGCAAAGGACTGGGAAATGGCGAGCAGGGGAGCAGGGGAGCTGGGAAACTGGGGAGCAGGGGAGCTGGGGACCCGGGACGACTGCTTGGCACACCGTTGACGTTGGCTCCGCTGCCGCCGTCGGCATCAGCGTTAGCATCATTTCGTTCCGTTTCGTTTCGGTTTTAATTTTACAGTTTTTCATTTTTAATTGTCTTACATTCCTGGCTCGCGCTCTCTCGCTCTCTCTCGCCCTTTCCCTGTGTTCTTTCAACCCTCTCCTCTCCACTCCTTCCCCCTTCTCTTTGTGTTGGTTGTTTACTCGTGTTTTACTTTATGCATATTTCGCTTCCGTCGAGGAACGAACGAGCGAGCGAGCGAGCGGCGGCAGCGTTGGGAAAGTTTTTTCATTTGGCAGGCGCGTGCTAAATAAAAAATGCTTTCCTCCCTCCCCCCGAAACCCCACCCCGCCCCATCTACCATCCCCCAGAGGCTACGCATATTTATGCGCTTTATTGTTTGTGCAACAGCAGCGGCAGCAGCAGCAGCAGCAGCAGCGGTTGCAGCTCCACACACATTTTTGGCATTTTAATAGCAACTTATTTAATAAACGTTTCTCTTGTCCCGCTGCAGGTGAGAAGCCCTACAAGTGCTCCTGGGACGGCTGCGAGTGGCGCTTCGCGAGGAGCGACGAGCTGACGCGCCACTACCGGAAGCACACCGGGGCCAAGCCGTTCAAGTGCCGCAACTGCGATCGCTGCTTCTCGAGGTCCGACCACCTGGCCCTCCACATGAAGCGCCACATGTGAGGCGAGATCTAAGCGGGGTCGGAGACGGAGACGGAAACGGAGGACGAAGGACGGAGGATGGAGGGTGGCAGCACCGCCGGCGGAGTCGGAGTGCAGCCGAAACTGTGTGCCATCAAGGAACGATGAAAAAACTGCGTAACGCGTAATCAAAATAACAGAGAATTAAGGAGCATTTAAGCGGAGAGTAAACGGAGAGAGTAAAGTGGGAGGAAAATCAAAGAAAGCATCACAACAAAACAAAACAAAACAAAACAAAACACAACACAAGCACAAAGACGGAAGACGGGAATCAGATATTTGTGTTGCCATTCATCAGCGTTATCGTTATCGTTTTCGCTTTCGTTGTGGTTATCGGCTATCGGTTATCGGTTATCGTTATCATTGTCCTTATCATTATCGTTTCAATTGCAAATTCGATTTGTTTCAATGCCTTGTTAAGCGTAAGTCTAAGCCACCCCCCATACCCCCCCCCCCCCCACCATACACCCCCCATACCTAGCATTTAGCGTCGCGTTCTGAACAAAAATATCGTACAATTTACCAAAGCTAAGCAGACATTACTGTAATTTGTAATGAAGCGGCAGAGAGCAGAACTAAAGCAGAAATTGTAATAAAAAAAAAACAAAAACCTAAAGAGTAAAGGAATATTTTTGTTTTCATATTGTGAACACTGCCAAAAACAAAAACAAAAAGAAATGCAAGAAAGGAAGAAAGGAAGGAGGAAAATATAAAGCTAGAAAAAATGTATGTAAAAAATGTGTGTAAAAGTTAAAAAAAAAAATAGTTAAGATCCGCTGTCGGTGGAGCAGAGGAGCAGAGAAATAGGAATACGGATAGGAAAAAAAAAACAACAAGAACAAGTGCAAAATATGTTTTAAACAAAACAAAAAGAGAGAAAACACAAAACACAAAACGATGAATGCTTATTTTTCTTAAATTAATTTTAAATGTAATTTAAATGTTGCCTAGGTCTGATTTTACATTACGTACACTCAAAATTCAAGCAAACCCCTAGAATTACGATTACGATCGGTCGGAGGAAGAGCAATTTTGTTGCTATGTTTTTAGGTTATATACGTAACTGATTGAATGCAGCTTCCCTTGTGCATTGCCCAAGTGATGGAAAGTATTACGAACCCGTTTTTGATATGTATAACTAATTTAATCGAAATTTGCATCGCTCGATCGCCGACTGGAGCTGGAGCCGGAGCTTGCTGCTTCTCGTCGGGGATCCATCATGGAAATTCTTCTTTATGTGCCTCATTAATTTTAGTCCGACTTCTTTGCGTAACTGATTTTTTTCGTAGTTTTTCTTTCGCTAAATTTATAGATTCCGTTCTGTTTAGTTTTACTCCTTTGTGTGCTGCATTTTATTTTGTAATTTATCATTTCAGCATTTTTGTTTATTTTTAATTATTTTTAATGAATAAAAAGATTGTGAAAAGCGTACGTTTCCACGGCCTAATCATTTCCACATCAAAGTATACAACGGTCAAGCATTATGGTTTGTGTGATGAGAAATTCTGTGATCCAGAGAACAACAGCAACAAAATAGCTGAGGCAAAAGAAACCCAAAACCAAAACCAAAACCAAAACCAAAACTATAGCAGAACAGATACTACTCGGAGGAGCAGGCGGAATCGGAGGCGGCACAGCTCGCCGCCGCCTCGAATGAAAGAAGAGTCTAGCAGGACTATATCAGGATATAGTACTATATGTCTCCATTATTTGTCTATTTGTCGACTTTTTCTAGCTTAATTCTCGCCCATTGTGGCACAGAGAAAGAATATACGATGTTTATCGATATCGATATTGTGTATTGTTGTCGATGTATCGTCTAGATGTATCGATGTAAGTGTGTTGCTTGTGCTTTGTGTCATTTGAATGTTGTTGTAGCCAGATATCATCCAGTCACAGCCCCACAAGCCCCCTTCCAGTCCGTACACTGTACACTGTACACCGTTTGGCTTCCAAGTGAAAATTGCACTGAAAACAATACTATGACTACTACACACATGTACTAATAGCTCGCGAACGAAGCGGGGAATTAAATGAATTAAATCCAAAAATCCAAAAATGTCTACGATGTGTCAAAAATGCTTCAATCAGTTTAGTCTAACTTTTCGAGAAACCAAAACTAAACCAAAACTAAACCAAAAAAAAAACAAAAAAAATAAATTAAAAATGTAAACCCAAAAAGTAAGAAATATTTTGTATAGAAAACCTTTAAACTAAAAATCCACGAAACCCAAAGAATATTTAGATCCTAAAGCAGATATTTGATGGTCACTCAACTATGGATATGGATATAGATATGGATATGGATAAACCATAAATGTGTGTATTTTACAACCAAAAAATGTGTATTTTAAAAGAGGAAAGCAAAGAAAAAGAAAAAAAAAATATTAATGTGTAAAAAAAAGTAAAACAAAAAAAAAATGAAAGACTGGTCAACGAGGTGTTCCGCGTTTATGCAACAATTGCAACATAAAAATAATATATACATACATATATACATATATATATATATGAGAATTTGAAACAGAAATATGGTACTCCCAAATGAGCGACAGGCATAGGTTCCACTCGATCATTTCGTGTCTCGAATTCGGCAGCAAACTACGCATACGTAAGAGGGCAGGGCAGGGGCATAGGCAGGGCTAGAGCCGAGTTCCCACGATCCCTTGATCCCTTGATCCCCCAAATTAAAGTTAATGAAGTACGAATTTTAAGTAACGCTGAATGTGAGTCTAGAGAGTACTAACCCGATAACTATGAATATATTTTATTGTCTACACTGGCACATTTTACAAGGCAGTGCCCCCTGGGTCCCTGGAGTGCAGTGGAGCGCGGAGTGCGGAGTGCGGAGGGTGGAGGGTCTGTGGTGCCATTGCCGTTGCCGTTTGCTGCAGAAGCAATCTATAAACATTTTCTACAGATTTACAGTCGAGGCAAGGGCCCAAGGAGATGGCGGCGGCAGAAGGCTGGTAGAACAAAGATTTGGCAGCACGGATGCATGAGGCATGGGGCATGAGGCATGAGACATGAGGAAGAGTAAATAAAGTATACTAAAACTAAAGTAAATACATTTTAATTTCGTTTAGAGTTTCGTTTGCAAATGTGCTTAGCAGTTTCCCAGCTCCCCCCCAACCCCGAACGCCCCTTCCCCGCCATCCCCCTCAAGTATGATTTCCCTGGGAAAACGCAGGGCGGAACATCATAAGCGTTTAGTTTAAGTGTAGACTAAATGTAGGACGGATGGCCAGGCATAGCATAGCAGAAATATATAGCAGAAACCCCCAGACAACCCAGGCTAAAGCATATACACTCTATATACATAGATACGTGTGGGTGGGAGGTGGTAGATGGGAGGTGGATGGTGGTAGGTGGTAGGTGGGAGGGACACGTTTTATGTAGGCAAATAAGGGCATAACTCGTAAACATTTTGTGTATAGTTTAGTGAAATGAATTAGTTTAATGTTAAATCAACTCGAAAAGTAAACTACATTACAGAAATTATATATATATATAGTGTATAGTGTATACGTATATATATTTTAGGAAATATAAGTGTATGGCAAACCTATTTACGTGACAGTTGTGCGTGTGTGTGTGTGAATTAACTTTGAATGCATTCAGTCGTGGGAGGAGGAGGAGGAGGAGGAGTATTATGCAAAGCATCTACGAGTTAAGGCACAGCATTATAAATTACCTTGTTTTTTTTGGGTTTTTTTTTTTGGAGCTACAGACGCACGAATGGTTACTAGAGAGCGGAGCGGGAAGGGCCCTGAGGGCGGGCACTTTTCTCGGCTTGGCAGGCAGCAAACGGTGATTTATATAGAATTTTTACGCGATAACTTAGTTTAGCCCGATCCTGAGTTCTGCGAACGATGCGAAACGACTCGAAATTCATAATTAAATTGTAGTCTTAAGCGTAATTGATATCAAAATAAAGCAAAAGGCAAGAAATGAAAAAAACTAAATGTATAACAAGAAAAATTCACCCGTTTCGGCACAGGAAAAAAACCACATAAAAAGAAAATACATTTAAGCATAAGAAAATCAAAAAAGAAACAAAAACTACATTTAATGCTTGTGCATGAGGCCAGAGAAGTCCTTAGCTAATAGCAAATAGCAGAAAATCTAATTGTCAGTGTTTCATTATTTATTATCAATGTGTGTGCGTGCGTGTGTGTGTGTGTGTGTGTGTGTGTGCATTCGATGCACAGCCCCTAAACAGCCCCCACACCCCCCCTCGGACAGTTGTTTGAATTTGTTTTTAGCGCTTCGCTCATTAATTCATAAAAAATAAAAAGATAATGGAATGGAATGGAATAATAATGGAATGCACTGCATCGGAGTCCCCGATAATTTGTTTGGGGCAAACTTTTGAAGCGCGAAATGTTTGCACAACAAATTAGTTGATTAACTGCGGGAATTATTGATAGAATTGAATTCGATTAGCATACGTTCAGCCCCCCTCCCTGCGATCCCCCCTAAGGTGTAATTGCATATTATATTCATTAAATAAAACACTCACATCATTGTGAATTATTATGATTGTATTATTACGGCTTGTTTGTTGCGGCTTTTTGTGCATTGCATCTCCATACGGATACCAGTTTATTAAGGCAAACGAAAATATAACAAATATCTAGAAAATTAAAGAAGAAGAAAAACCACTAAAAGTAAGACGAAGACGAAGACGAAGACAAGAGAGAAAAATTGAAAATTAAATGGAAATTTCTTGTATTTAGAATTAGTTTATTATACAAACAAGAACAACAGCAGAGCGAAGCATCTGAGGAGTGAATGAAGAGAGGACGAAGCGCAGGCGAGGAGTAGAGGAGTCGAGGAGTAGAGGAGTCGAGGAGTCGAGGCAGGAGAACCATCAGCATAATTAGAAAAACGTTATTTTTATTCTTGTATTGTATAAGTATAAACCGAAGGCATTTTTCAACGTATGAATACTATTATTGTACGTAACTTGATATTTTGATGAGAATTTCTGTGAACAAAACGAAAAACCAAAAACCACAAAAAAACCGAAATATAGAAAAATATAAAAAAAAAAAACAAAAAACAATTCCAACCACTGTGTGCTTGTTTTTGGGGATCCCCCTGCCTCTATAGGGCGGGCAAACACTCCGCATCGATGGCCGAGGGCTGTGCAGCGCCTTTAAAGCCCTGGGGACTGGGGACTGGGCCCCTGCCTGTGGGCTAATTTTTAATTACACTTTTCAGTACTCCGCCACCAGAGCTGAAAAGGTGCGCCCTGGAGGCACGGGGCCATAGCCAGGGGCCGTGCAAATGTGCGCCGTAAATCATAATTTGCAATAAGTTAATTGCCTGTCAGTCAATTTTCAGCCTCTCCGCCGTAGGACTTGGATCCTCTTTTCGGTTCACAAAACTTAATTCTGAAAAGTTCTGGCTGGGAAATCGCTTTGCATTTCCTCTCCGGCTGCT